GGAAACCTTATTCCAAAGGGAGAGACCGATGAAAGGTGGGAAGTGGGGTTATTTTTGAGGAACCGAAGCAATCAAAAACATGAAATAGTGCGGAAATCTGCCCGCTGCAGTTTGCTATGCTTTGTTTTGTTTCTGGAAAGAAGTCACTGTCCTGTGTAATTTACAACAGGAAATAAATCAGTGAGACAGAAAACATATGCAATGGCTAAGCATGGGGAACTGTCACATCAGTTCAGTGTCAATCTGCTTCTATCTAGTTAAAAACAGACTTCTTGCATTTCTGACTCATACGCTCACTCCCTCAGCCAACCACACACACATCTTCTGTTTGAATACAGGTTGCATTGATCTTGTAGGACCCTCTGCCCAATTCTTGGCTGTTATTTTTTTTAAAGGAGCCCTCCCTATATTTTTAATCATATCTAACAAATAAGCACCTGGGGCAGAAGAGGGATTTAGACTGGTTAAACTGCAGAAGCATCAGGCTGTGGCAGCTTGCAATCATGGAGGTACTAACCTCCATGCACCCATTTATGCCGTGGGGAAATGCTGATGCGCAAGTGTTTGCATGCTTGCATTTCTCATGCAGGGACGCAACGACTCCCTGTGCAAAACTGCCCTCACTGCCAGCTGGGTTGGTGTGGTTAGAGTGTCGGACTACGAAGCGCTTGGCTCAGATTCTCTCTGTCGGGAAGCTCCCTGGGCAGTGGCAGTCATCCTGGCCTGACCGCCAATGCTCAGCCTTATCCCTCTCACAGGATAGTTGCAGGACTATGCGCAAAAGAAGAACTGGATCTTGCCACGGGCTTCTTGGAGGAAGACCAGCTATGATTAGATCAAGCGCCACAGAGCATTCCTATCCCTGGCCATCGCTATTTTGGACTGCCCACTTAATTGTTTTATATTTCTACCCCACACTGTTCTTTCCAGGAACTCAAGGCAGTTTGCACAGTTCTCCTCCTGCTCTCACTCCTATCCTTGCAACATCAGCCCTGTGAGGTTGGCCGGGCTGACAGCCTGGCACAAAGCCTCACTGTGGGCTGCAGGACTGCGAAGGGAGTAGAGCCCGGATCTTGTGAGACCCAGTCCTGCACTCCAGCCACCACACCACACGGGCTCTCCTGCTGCGGTGGTGCTACCTGAGTCTTGGTTTCCTCTGCTATGAATCCCTATATTTGAAAGCGTGCAAGCTGAGCACATGCGCAGACAAGCAGGACACATGCGCAGACAAGCAGCGCGTCTGCTATCCCTCCTTGTGGCCTGCTTCAGTTGGCCTGCCACCCCCTGGATTCACAGCCCTGCAGGGAGAAGGACCGAGGGAGGCAGGAGCAGCAAAAGAGAACATCAGGGTAGAGATGTCTGGGAGCGGAAATCCGTCGGCTTCCCTAGGCTTGGCTCCCCCTTGCCACAGATGGGGGTCTGAGGCCCTGGTAGGCATGCCCAGTGTCCACGGGTTCCTCACCAGGAAGCAAGTCCCACTCAGAAGCAAGTCCCATCTGTGTTGGTGCTGCATGCGGCCCGGGGCACGATGCGGAAGGAAGTGGCCGGTTGCACAACCCACCTTCCCTGAGTGCTCATGGACTTGCTCTTGGTTCGGGTCACTCCCTTGTGAGCAGGATGGGAGCTTCATTACAGCCCTACGTCAGGCCTGCTCCTCCCTCCAGCAGAAGAGAAAGGAAGCAGAGCCATTCCACCGAAACTGTGGGTGTTCCACCTAATCCTTCCTTCTTCCCTCCCTATTGTGCTGTATCTTTTTAGATTGCAAACCTGCTGATTGGTTGCAGATAACCAGTCAATAAGTTATATAACTGGGTATATTTAGTAACTATTTATACAACTAATTGATTTAGATAAACAACTAAATTAGTTCTCTGGTGAGTGGCACGCCAACCCAGACTGAAAAATATTTTGATTTGAAAAAATAAAAATCAGCTCCTGGGGGAAGGGAAGAGGCTGATACCTGCTTTTCTTCCCCGTCTCACTTCACTGTGCCCTGCCTGCACACCACTGCATCTCGCTTTCAGTATTGCGGAAGGGCTGGGGAGAAACGGCATCAAGCAGCTGAGCAGGGCAAGGTAATAAGGAGCAGAAGGAGGGGCTTGCTCTCTCCCACACCTGCCCACCTGTTCATTTTGCTATAAGAAGCCAGTCCACCATTCTACACACATTGAGATTGCATGCACCTGTTTCTCTCAACTCCTGTCCCTGCAGGTATGCAGGATAGCAGGTGTGACACAAATAACTGTTTCTTGCACTAGAAATCAGTCAGTCAAGGACTCTGTTCACCATCAGGCGATGACTTTTTCAGTAATAGTACACCAGTTATGCATCCTTTCTAGAAATGATCAGATGGATTGCTTCTTCTTGCTGGAACCTCATCAGCTACAGGAAACCTTCCCCCCCATCCCCCAGTCTTGCAACCCCTCACCAAACACCCTCGGGGATTTTAAGTATGCGTCCCTCCACTTTTGGCTTTGGTGGGGGATGCCACCCAGCTGAAGTTTGCGGGCACAATCGCACAGCTAACACCAAAACCGGGGAAGCAATATGAATTTTCTCAAATGCAAAGAAATCCCATCAGCTAATTTTTTAGGTGCGATCCATCAGAACTTAATTAGGAATCCACAGTGCTGAAGGAAGAAAGCCCCTCTGAGCAAATCCAGAAAGGTTGTCCCACTCCTAATATAGATCAGAAGATTTTATATGAACATGAACAGGTGCTTGGAAAAATACAAAGGCAGAAGTAATATTTGATACAGGACAAAGGCTTCTAGAAACACCCAAGTCAGTATCTCAATATATTTGATGACTTTACACATAGCAACTTTCCCTCAGCAATACTTCAATGATCACTTTAGAAGTATTCTATGCCCCTTTCATCTCCATGAGGCCTAACAAATTGTAAGCATGATCATTATTATCACTGCATTATTCTATATTGCTTTATTCCACAGAAAATCTCAAATCTTCCACAGACCATACTAGTGTTCTTCAAAGCCAGGCGAAGAACTTCTGCTTCAGACAAGCTTTATAAGACAACAAAGAATCTTGTAACACCTTAAGGCCCAACGGATATATTCTAGTGTAAGCAGTCATAGTGATGTTTGTTTCATCAGGAGGCTTGTGCCGAAATAAAAGTGTTTGTCTTGAAACTGTCACAAGACCCTTTGCTGCTTTTGCAAGGGGTGGAACATGGCAATTCTCTTAGGACACTTCCATAATTTGTATGGTCTGGGACTCCTGTTTTTAAAATCTGTCCAGTTAATTTGGGAGTGCTTCAAATTTTATTCTGTCACCATATTTTGTGTGTGATTTGCTTTGTTAGATGCATGCTTTATTCTGTACTTTGTTCTGAAATTTATTTCTAGGAAGACACCTAGAAGAATTTACATCTTGGGGTGGGAAGTCAAAACAAATGCATGTAATAGAAAACCAGAGATGGATCCATTTTTGCAAACTCAAACGTTTAGAAGCCCTTTTTAGTTGTGAAATTTGTCTTTTTGGCTGTAGGTCATTCAGAGCAAAATAACGCAGCCACTTACTTCTGCCCTGTGCACAGTACCCGTATTTATCCTCCAGACTCTATCAGTTTATCTAATATCTTTTGCTTTTAGAACATGTTTACTCTGTTGAACAGTCTGCTCAATTTTTGTATTTTAATACACTGAGATAAACAAATAAGCCACCTCCCTTTTGATTTTCCGCTTCTTTGAAATGCCTCTTGAGTAGCTCAGTGTTCCAAACCAAGATCTCAGCAGTCACAGAATTTAATTAAAATTTCATTAAATTAACTATAATTAGTCTAGCTTAGTAATAAGAAACCTTATTTCTCACACAAATGATTTCTTTGGTTTGTCGTGTTAGCAAGCACATGATTTGGCTACCTAAACAGAACAGATTTCAGAGATCTTTTCTGTCTCGCAAAAGGTTGGCTTGTACTATTAGCTGACACACAAAGTTAGAGCTCGGCTTTCTTGCCATCCAAGGCTAATATTTCTTTGCTGAATGTACACGGTATTGACATTAGCATGATTTATCCATGAAAGCGTGCATGGATGAATGTCATTTTAAAGCTGCCTGCCCAAGTCACTTATCTATCTTCCAGTGTGGATCGGGACACTATAGGTCCATTTAAAGGCAGCCTATGAAGTGACTATCTTTTCAGCAATAATTTACAACGTCCTCGGAGCATCTTAAAACTAGGCTGAGCTTCTGCTGTCAGTAACAATGGCCCTGAAATCGAGTGGCTGCAGGAGAAAGTAGAAGACTACAAAGGGGTGGGTTGTTACTCCTGCTGAATTGACATTATCGGCATTCTTAAAATATGGTCCCTTTAGGCCAGGAGTTCTTGAAGCTGAATTATTTAGTGTGATATTGTAAAATGATAGCAAACAATGCTGCTTCTTTTCAAAACAAGAAGCTGAGCCAAAAAACAGAGGCACCATTAAAATTTGTACTCTGAAGACCTTTATTAGCCATGCATGCAGGCAGATAAAAGGAAAAAAAATCTTTTCATTATTTGTAATGCATGCTAAAGGTGACCTAAGGCTCAATCCTATTCATGTTTAGATAGGAAAAAAAATGATCTACAACTCCAAGCTACACTGACTGGGGCCTGCTGGGGTTGTAGGCCTTTTTCTGCCCAAAATTGCATGGAATTGCTCCTTAAGAAAGCAATCCTTGCTCTCAAGGTACAGCCTCTGATATTGAAGGATCTGTTCGCCCCTGTGCATTGTTGGCTGTTGGAGGCAGAAGCCAGGATGTGGGGCTTCTCACATCTTCCCTCTGTCTGTGGCTGGAAAAGGCATTGCTCTTGCCCATTATCACCATGACAGGAATCGTAAGGGACATTTGATGTACCTCTGTTGTAAACTACACCTAAAATAAAGGAAGGGTGGTCTGATGAGTGAATGCAGATAATGGAGGGGATATCGCTGGTGGCATTCCCATGGGGGATCGAGACCAAGTTTTTAGGATCACATATTTCTGCTCATTTTGACTAAATCATTCTCCACAAATGACCAATATTTTCCATCCTGGAATTAACTACAAATGCTTTTTTAGTTAGTTTGGTTATAAAGCAAATGCTGCATTTTAGACAGAATTTTAATATCAGTGTCCTCAACAGCTATGTATGTGCAACATTACAAGGGATCCGGCTGTTGGAAATGGGTGACGGGGGCACCTTTGCATCCAGCCCTGGCTGCGGTGGGGCAAAAGGCTGCTATAAATCATGATGCTCAAGAAGGGATTGGAGCAGGACGTGTCAAATGAGTCCTCTGTGTGATTGCTCGAGGAAGCTGTTGAACACATTGGTTTTTGCTACTCCCTATGGTGATTTCTGGGACCCGACTGTTGCAGGTCTATGCAGATGGCTTGTGATAGCATAAGCAACTCGTTGCACAATGCAATGAGCATACGCAGAGCTTCTGAGCCGCGTCTCTAATCTACACTTTTTTCCTTTGTGTGGAAACTGCTGATCAGAATTCTTCTCAGTGAAGTCAATATTTGTACAATAAAAATGAAGTTGACTTTGAATTTTAAAGAGGCACTGGGTCTATCATGCGTTCTGACTTGAAGTAACTAATTCTCCCTATAGGAATCTATCAGCATCTTTAAAAGCCTACGACTGCTCTCTTTCAACCAACACAGCCTTGCAAAGATGGGATGGCAATTAGAACTGGAGGGCATAGTATATGGTGGACTCAGCTGAAAAATTAAATCCTCCGCAATGTCAGAATTCAAATGGAAGAAAGACAACATGGGAAAGAGAGCAAAACCAGAGAGGAATCTGCCTGCTCTGCTTGGGAATGTCCTTCTTCATTTCAGACAGCACAGTTCTAAGCATCCCCAGAGGCTCTTCACTAATGTTGCTGGTTTGGGACTTTTCACAAGGCATGGCAGGCATCAAATGGGGATAGGAAAAGGGAGGAAGTAGCATTTTTGGAGAGGAAGAATAGAGAATTGGTTAAACTGTACTAAAGCGGGAGACAGGGGAGGAGACACACTTTAGAACTGTGACATAGTTCACAGGTCTGCATCATGGAGGAATGATTTCCCCCAGTCGATATTGTAGTAATTGTAGAATGATATGCTAACTGCTGCTGTGGGCGGCATACTTTATTTTCAGACAAAGAGATAGAGGAGAGACTATCAGTTGTTGCCTTCCATCTGTAACAATTACATGTCCCTCAGAAAAGGGTGGTGAGGCCTCCATATGCAACTATAACTTGATGACTGTGACAGACAACATAACAATCAGACTTAAGGGCAGACTCTGGGTTGATTGTGGGTTGTCACTGAGGGATAGTTTACTGTTGAAATATGGGTTCTCATGTTGCCTGAACCCAGAATGGTTGTATAACTCTGGGGGATTTCTTTTCTTTTCCTTTTAGCTTACTCCACACTGACCTGGGACTCAAGCGGGTTGAGTGCTGAAGGGCTTCGGCTTGGCAGGTACAATGTAGGAGTCTGGGGAAAATAATGAAAAACCAGAACTGTGTGCGCATCCTGCCATAACCTTTAAAATGAAGGAACACTTTAACAGAGGTGTAACATGCTGCCAAAAGAGACCCCCTGTTACTAGTCTTGGGCCTGCATTCTACACCAGCTGTATCTTAGAACTAGATCTAAGGAGAGTCTTCATGGACTACATTACAATAGTTCAGTCTTGAGGCTGACTCTGAAACACCATGTTCAGACTACTGTGATTCAGTAATGGCTGTAGCTGGTGAACCATCTGAGACAGGTAAAAATAGCTCCTGGCCATCAAGACCATAAAAACCTCTAATGACAAAGATGCCTCCTGCCCCCAGGTAGCAGTAACCCCAAGTTGTGGACCACTTTCTCCAGGTATGCACATCATGCAAGGCAGCTGATGCATTTTTCAGTTGGCCTGCTTCTAACAGGCGGGAGCTCTGAACTCTGCTTTGCTGATGGAGGTTGGATTTGCTGGAAATTCAGATGCAGACCTCCATGATTATGCAAGTTTGCTGGATGATTTAGACGTGTTCCTTGGTGTCTGCAATCTGTCAGGGCTGGCCGGCCTGCTGGTTGGCAGCTGAGGCTACTTCAGAAGGAGCAAATATATTTTCCTTTAACACAAAAAGAACCTACCCCAAATGCTAGGATTTTATCATTTCAATGAATCAGAACATTAAATTTGAGTTATAGCCCATCAGAGTCTCAGAGAATGAAATGATGAAACGTTGGCACCTTGCCGGAACAGTAAAGCTCTTTGGGTTTATTTTTGTCTGCAAAAGTCAATGTTCTCTCATACAGCAGCTTTCCCAGGTGCAATGAAAATGCAAATTGAAAACTTTGAGGCTCTATTGTTAAGTGATTCCCACACTCTTTGATGGGGAAACATGCAAAACACACTTTTCTTAATAGAAATTACACTGGAATAATGCGCCTAGAAAACATCTGGGGGAACTGAATGGACTAAAGATAGGAGGAAGGAACAGCTGTGTATTGGAAAAGAGTCTCTTTCAGTGGATGATTATTGGTGAAGCAGGAAATGGGGGGAAGAAATGAGTACTCTCTCTTGTTAAATTGATAAACTTGTGTGAAAAGCAGGAACCTCTGTGCATTATGTCTGTCGAGACTGAGTCTTCAGCAGGGTCCCTGTGAACACCGCTCTCCCAGGTTCCCGCCTCTCCTGATTTTTATGCTATTTCTTAAGGTTTTCAAAATTTGCTTTCTTTTACTGTGAGGCTGGCATGCTACAAAGTGAAGTTGTGCCTTTCCACACCATCTTTCTCTGGGTTTGAAAGAGCACCTTTCTGTTTTGAAGCTCAGACTCCATCTCTGCCTTGTATGGGTTCTTGAGCAAGTTACCTTTCTCTGCCTTCTGGAAAATTAACATTTTGTGACCAGCCATGCATGCTGTGGAGCTATTAAATGGATGGGCAAACCACTCACAGCAGCCATTTTGTGAGAGTGCCCATGACATTCTATCAAAATTCAAATACACCCACTGACCCCAAAAGATTGGCAATCTCTATAGTAGAGCATAGAGTTTAACATAATAATCTGGCAGGATGGAATGAATGTGGAGGTGATCTTGTCTCTGTACCTGGCCTTAGAAGAGTCACTTTAATTTCTTAGCCTTATTTACCTGCAATAGGAGGATAGTACTTGCTATTTGTTCTGATTTTGCTATTTTGTATTACATTGCTGTATTCTATTTTTTCCACTCTTGTTATTATAAATGCCTCTGGAAACATAGGCCTAGATCTGGTCTTAGTTGGAGCAGACCCACTGAAATCAATTACTCATGATTATCATAAACCCCTTTGACTTCAATGGGTCTCCTCTTATATATGATGAGTCCAGGTCATTGTTGAAAGTTCGGAGATTAAAAAAGAGGGATTAGATCAATGCATGAATAAATAAACCAAATAGCATTACTTTTCTTACAGGGCAATTGCAGGAATATCAGAGAATACTCTAAAGAGTAAATAGAGTATTTACTCAAATGCCATATGATGCCACTGTTATTAAGAGGGAGTTTTTTGAGCTTGTGGACTTCAGACCTCATACTTTATCATGCCAAAGTCTGCAGGTTGCAAGATTATTTTGGGGACCAGGATGTTGCTTTGCATATGTTACCAGACACAGATGCCTGAAATGCCTTTTCATACAGTTCTCTGTCCCCACCTTACATTATACTTTTTGCTTTGGTGGACTTTGGCTATGACACAAACACATTCAATGGCAGTTGAGCCAAGGCACAGACGGTGTTAATTGCTGGAGCGACGGCTGAAGTGGCATGATCGCTGGGCCAAAGAAGCCACAGTGGCTATTTTTCCCTGCCACATGTTGCACATGTTGCACAATTCCTTTGCGGTGCGTGGGTTACTGTGTTGTCTGAAGGCAGCTCTTTGGAAGCCTCCTCCACTGTGCACCTCAACAGGTGCAGACAACATGGGAAGCCCCCTGCTGTGAGGGAAATTGGGCAGAGTATGCCATGCATGACTGGCACACTCGGGGGCAGGAGGAAGACGCTCCCAGGGCTTCATCCAACCCTGGCCAATAGCAAAGCTGCAGCAGAGCTAGTGAGTCATGGCACTTTTATTCTCCCCACCTTTAGAGATATAAATAGAAAAGAGACATTAATGAGATCAGTAATCTCAGCAGGTGCCAACTTTTTGCCAAAGTGGCCTGAAACATCCATGATAAATTATTAAGCCTTGACAGAGCAAAAGAAGATGAAATACTTTGCACAGAAAGTGATACTCATTTTTTAAAAATTCTTCATCTGTAGATCGTAAGTGCAGCCCTGTTGGCATGCTGATAAATTAATGTTAGTCCCTGGAACAAGGTAGTGAAATTTAAAACAAAACAAGACGTTCATGACTCATCTATCAAAAGATTATTTTAAAGCCCCACAGTATGGATATATATGTTTTAATGAAATGGACAATAAGATAAAGACTAGGCTAGGATGGCTTTGAGAGATACAAACAACAATGCAACACATTCTATTAGGCTAAGTGTCATCTTACCAATTTTGAAGCATACATTTTGGAAAAGTTTCTGTTCTAGAATGGAAGTGCTTTTGCACACATGTCTGGAAGATACAAAAATGACAGAAGTGTTTACCTGTATAGATTGAGAAAAATCACTGATCTGATAGGCTGGATTCAGCCATGTGACCTGCCAAGGGACCACTGCTCAGACTCTCAGCTTCATTCTTCTTGGCCCCTTCCAACTCTACTCTTCTATGATTCCATGATTTGCCTAGTGGTGTCACCATCTAATGATGTCCTGCTATTAATTAGCTGACGACATGTAAGCACAGGAAAAATGCAAGCACCAAAGTAGCACCAGAGAAAGGGGAAACATGTCTATGAAGGCCCTTGGGGTGTGTGTGTGTGTGTAAGGATGTGGTGTTTTCAAACAGCTTTTAATCAGAAAAAGTAATAAGTATAAATATGAAGGTAAATATATTTTGGGCTGGATCCAGATTTAGAAGTGTGCAGCTGGACTGGTGAAAGCATATATG